ATAAAGCCATATTATAACATCGACTGAAATAAAAAATAAAATAAAATATTAAAATCACGATGTATCTCGTTGCATTGCGCTCTAGTATTATTTAACGGGTTGGGATTTTAAATCTCGGCTAACCAATCCGACCCCTTAATTTGTTGAAAGACCGAATGAGCCAGAGCAACAGTACACAGTGAACCGGTCCAATCCAACAAGGGCCGAGATCCATTAGAAAGCTGCGGGAGACGGAGCTGGTGATCAGTAGAAGAAGCAAACGATGAAGCGATTCTTTCAACCAGTGCAGAAAGATGTTTCTTTCAAGAAACCCACTCTCTCTTCTTCTTCTTCTTCTTCACCATCCTCAGCCAATGATGCTGAAACCAAAGCACCACCAGTTGAAGACGATGATGAAAAGACCCAAAAGAAAGAACCCACCAAGTTCTTGACTTGGAATGCTAACAGCTTCCTTCTTCGGGTTAAAAACAATTGGCCTGAGTTCACCAAGTTCATCGACTCCATTGATCCTGATGTCATCGCTATACAGGTGCCATTTCCCCCTCGATTTTACCCTTAGAAAGTTGAAATCCAATTTCTTCGTCTTATTTGTGTGAGAATTCGACGAATGTTGTCAAGATATTGGGGTTTCGTATCTTTGAATGTGTGAGAACTGGTGGGTTGTTAAATGATTGCATTTGGGGTTTGTAGAACCTCAAAACAAACCCTTTTCATGCCGTGTTAAATTTGGTGATAATTTATGGTGTTTTAGCTTCATCTATGCCTTTTTTGGTTTCTGGGGTTGTTTATTTCCTTCGAGACTTCTGATTTTAGGCACTTTAGGAATATACATTTGAGTGATTAGCATTCAGAACCAACTATTAATGCTTTATTCACAATGAATGTCTATTCATGATGAAAAATACATGATATTCAAGAAAATGGATAACATTCATAATGAATATGCATGATATTCAGAATGAATAATATAACCTTCTTCGTTGGTCGGAATAGGTAACTGTGTAAAAGTATGTTGCTGATATATTCACTAACTAACAACGGATGGTAGGAAGTAAGGATGCCTGCAGCTGGTGCTAAAGGTGCTTCAAAAAATCCAAGAGAGTTGAAGGACGACAATAATTCTTCACGAGAAGAAAAATTGGTACTTTTGATCATCGTCATAGCTCAAAGTTAATAACGGAAATTCGCTCTTGTGAATAACTCTTTTTGCTCCATCTCTTAACAAATCGTGCAGATTATAACGCGAGCGTTATCAGGTCCAACGTTCAGGAAATATGATGTATGGTGGTCTCTTTCTGATTCCAAGTATGCTGGAACCGCGTTGTTTATAAAGAAGTGTTTTCCACCCAAAAAGGTTCTATTCAACTTAGATGGCTCAGGTACCCCACTCTCGTACCCATAAATTGATCTTCTTTGTTAAAGTACAACAAAATCGGCCTTATAGGGTGCTAATTATTCGTAAATGTTTATAGGACTTAAGTTCGTAGGACCAAATAATTGTGCGTCTTATGCAAAAGTATTACAAGAAGCTGATAGAACGTTTTTGAATGTCCTAACAAGTTTGTTAAGACACTTTTGAATCTTTGTTGGTCCCAGCAGGATCTCCAAGAGTTTATAGATAATGGTTTGTAGAAGGGGAGCATGAATACCAACACAGGTTGTTTTACAGATCAATACAAATTTTATAGATTGTTTGCAGAAGAGATAGGATACATAACCTATCTAAATAATCCAAGATACACATAAGATTACAAATAGCAATAAGAAAAGATTTGCTACAAGAAATAAAGTAAGAATAAATATACTCTTCATTTGTTAAAGTGAGTCTTTCTCTTAGATAGAGAGTAGTGAGAGAAGTAACTTCTTGAGTAAGTTCTTAGTGAGGAAGATGATAACTGAGAGGAGAACCACTCAACTATTTATACCTATTGCATTAAATGCAATTCAGAATAAAGTGTCCTATTAGCTTTTTTTATAAAACACTTAGAAATGTCCTATGAAGACTTCTTATAGGAAACTTGTTTTTTTAAGACAAATTTTCAAATAATGTTTGTATAAAAAACTAATGGGACGTTTTATTTCAAAAGTATCCTAAAAAACTTGTTAGGTCACTCAAAAACGTCCTATCAACTTATTGTAACACCTTTACTACGACACATAATTGTTTAGTCCTGTAAATGTAAGTCCTATAGAACAGTCTATTAGACATTTTGACGTATTTGGCGTCCTAAAAAAACTGATTTCGTTGTAGTGTCTTCAAATAAACGCTTTCTAAGGTTATCATTCCAAATGTTCTATCAACAACATATCGGTAAAACTTACGTTTTCTGATTGTTGTAGTTGATGTGGAGAAACATCATGAAAGATTTTCATGTTGTATGCAAATAATTATTCATTCGAATGTGAAACTAGTTGAATTTAACAACATCTCATTTATTCATAGTTTCCAAGCATGAACCAGATGGCCGAGTCATTATAGCTGAATTTGAATCATTCCGCATAATGAATACGTACGTGCCAAACAATGGCTGGAAAGATGAAGAAACCTCGTTTCAAAGGAGACGAAAATGGGATAAAAGAATTAAAGAATTCATCTTGCGATCTATGGATAAACCCCTTATCTGGTGCGGCGATCTTAATGTCAGGTACCTTTCTTTTGCCAAATCTTGTTCTAAGTGTTTCTTTCGATACAAAGTTCGATCTTATTGACTTAATATTGCATCCGTTTGTGTCTTCTTTCAGTCACGAAGAGATCGATGTTAGTCATCCAGATTTTTTTCAAAGTGCAAAGCTTAACGGTTATATTCCTCCAAATAAAGAGGTAATGTACTTCAGATTCTGCTTTTGAGTTTAGAATCGTCAAGAACAGTTTATGTTAAAAAACTAACTTTAACTGTCGATTGCAGGATTGTGGGCAGCCTGGATTCACCTTGTCCGAGAGGAAACGCTTTGGTTCCATTCTGAAAGAGTATGAATCTCTATTTATCTCCTTTTTATTTGTATTGTTGTCGGTTACTCATATCTCGCTTTTTAAATTTTTGCATATCTGTATTTCTCCCTTTCTTACACTCGGGAGTCTTCACAGAAACAGCCGCTCTACTTTTGTTGTATAATATTTTTATGCATAACATATTCATGCACATTCTTCGCCTTTGGTGAGGTTTGAACCCTTGGTCTCCGAGGAAGTTAGGACGAAGGGCTCTACTGCTAACCCGAGTACTCTTGGGCCTAGGGGTGTAAATGAGCCGTGCCGAGTTGAGTAGTAGGTTATTCAATATTGGCTCGAAAAAAAATACCAGGCTCGAATAACTTCGATGTAGGGCTCGAGCTAGAGCTTGCATATTTTTTGAGTTATCGAGTTCAAGCTAGATGCTCGTTTATGGGCTCGTACTCACGATCGATTAACTTGTTTATTTGCTTGAGATTGATAATTTGTATATCTTAGTTATATGATTTATGAATGTTTGGCTCAAGGAAGTATATGCTCGAATGGTTGATTGAGTTTTCGAACGAGCCGAGTCGAACATTAGTGTTATGAAGGTCGACTTGTTAAGTTAAACGAGTTTTATTTTGTGTTCGAGGTTGACATGAGCTCAAGTAGCTCGTTAGAAGCTCGACTGGTCTACACCCCTAGTTGGGCCAATGACCCTTTGTTAGCCACTCTACTCTTTCATGTACATCTTACCCCAGACCCACCTTGGGCTCGTTTGGTTTGAATTGGTTTATGGTTCTATTATGAAGACTCTTGCCAAATTGAATCATTGAATGTTATGGACCCATTTGTCAGTTTCTTGACAACATATATCCGGCCCGATGCAAGAGCTTTGATATTATTGTTCACCTACTACCGATTGGTTTGCAGGGGAAGTCTAATAGATGCGTATAGATTTCTTCACAAGGACAAAGACATGGAGCGTGGCTTCTCATGGTCGGGCCACCCTATCGGGAAGTATGTGGTTAAGCGTTTTAGATACCACTAGTAAATATCAAAACGTGTAGCATCTCTCTTATTTTGTTATTATTTGTATGATATTTGCAGGTATCGTGGTAAAAGAATGAGGATAGACTATCACTTAGTGTCGGAAAAACTTAAGGACAAGATCGTTAAATGTGAAATGCACGGGCATGGGATTGAATTGGAGGGTATGATTACAACTGACACACTCATGTCGCTATAAAAACACACGAATCTCATAATCAACTATATGCAAGATTTAATCTTCGTAATGACAGAAACGTGTTTCCATATAGTTATAGCTTAGTCAAAAGCACCATTGTTGTCACGAGCTAAGATTCAACTCGGGTTTTAGTGTTATAGAGGAAAGTTTATATCTTGAGAACTTGAGAACCAACTATTTCATGAATTATTCATCATGAATAACCCTAAAATATTCCTGAATATTACTCATAGTGGATATCATGCATTTTCATTATTCATGATATTTATCATGAATCATTCTTGAATACTTGGTTCCCTAATCTAAGTATATACGGTTCTCATTTAAACCTTTGTATATGTATAATATATAGACTTAGGTTTTTAGGGGAAGATAAAAAAAAATGGAAAACTGGGGAATACCATAATAACCATTCATCTATATGGAATTTGTTCAATATGCAGATATGCATAAAATGCACAAGTGCATAGAAACCGCGAAACATTTTCAATTACTTTTATGCACACTTACCGTACAAATGAATGGTTTTTTTGGTGTTCCTCAATTTTATATATTTTGTAGTTTCCCTGGTACCCGAGTATATATATATATAGGGATAGGTTTAGGGGAAAACTGTAAAAAGAAAATAAATGAAAAACCAAGGAACACCTTGGTAACAGTTCATCTGGAAGGTATTTACATGTGTATACAAGAAATTTGTAAGCGATTTGTCCGGTATGTACATGTGCATAACATGCATAAAAAACCAAGAAACAACTTCAATTACTTGTATGCACAAGTGTGGTTACCAAGGTGTTTCTCAGTTTTTCATTTCTTTTGTGGTTTTCCTCTGAACCTCCCTCTCTCTCTCTCTCTCTCTCTCTCTCTCTCTCTMTATATATATATATATATATATAGGGTCAGGTTCGTTGGAAAACCACAAAAAAAATGAAAAACTGGAACACCCTAATAACCTTTCATCTGGAAGGTATGCACATGTGCATACAAGTGATTTGTAAGCAATTTGTTCGGTACGCACATGTGCATAACATTCACACGTGCATAAAAATCAAGAAACAACTTCAATTACTTGTATGCACATGTACATACCATCTAGATGAATGGCTACTAGGGTGTTCCTTAATTTTTCATTTTTTGAGGGTTTTCCCCCTCAACCTCCCTCTATATATAGGTTACTTGGAAAACCAAAAAAACTGAAAAACTGAGGAATGCTCCAATGACCATTCATCATATGCATACCGGTATCCACATGTAGATGAATGATTGTTAGGGTGTAGTTCATCAGTTTTTCATTTTTCTACAGTTTCCCCCCAAACCCGACCCTGTATATATAACACAGTACTTTCTTTTGATTTCGTCTTTGCTCTTTAAAAATATATCTAAGAAAACAAATGCGGTTAACCAGAATCTGTAAAATGTCGATAACCGAAACTTAGAACATGTTATTGATTTTGTTGCAGGATTTTATGGGAGTGATCATTGTCCTGTTTCCCTTGAGCTTGCTGAGCCAAGCCTTGATGCTGAAAAGTTGAACACAAACTAGTTAGTCTTATTTTCAACCTATGGCTTGGGTTTGGTGTTAGCATCTGTTATCAAATCATTAATCAAAACCCATTTGCTGATTTCTTGAAAGCAAACTTTGCCATGTTTTGTTTTTGCTGTTACATCAAAGACCTTTCGGTTTATGCCAACAGTTGAAGTTTTATTGGTACCCGGCAAATTGTGACCGTAAGACATCACCATTGATAAACTCAGTTGTTGTAATTGTTGTGGACGTCTTGAATTGAACCCAAAACAGATGAGATATGCCATCATATCATCTGGGTCTCATTCACTATGCCACAACCCTGTGGTTAGTTGAAGTTTGAGGCTCCTCTCTCAACTTAAATTAGTAACCCGTGCCTAGGCTTGAACTCACCGTAGTAGCAATCACGGTTTCTAACTTTTGGCAATGGTCGACTCTTCGTTAACTTTCTCGGGTAGCATGGTTTGACCCGAACCAAGTAAATTAAAACGATTTGATTGGAAAGTTTTTTCAGTTAGTTGTTTGGTTTGAAAGTTCTAAAATTGAATCTTTTGGTTTGATTGGAGACGGAAATTTTACCCAAGGTACCCGATTCTAACGAGGTGAGGATTCCCCGCTTTGACGTGTAATAGGGGGAGGATGGGGGTTTGTTTTCATACCTGAAGCTGGGTTGGGATGGCGTTACAGCTAAATTTATCGGTCAAATGTTAATTTATTAACTAATTTGCCAAATATAGCATAAATTTGTAGTCTGTTTGACTGGACCCAATTCAACTATTATTCTAAAATTATCCTGATTATTGTACCGATTTAGCGAACATCATTATAAACTAGTCAGATAAAATCATATGAATCTTTCTATTAATATATTATCATCTTTTATTGTGGGTGACACTAATTTTTTTTCTTCATTATCGGAATACTGAACTTTATCACACACTTACATTAATGGAGCATCTTTAATAGATTCTTTAAAATGAAGAATCAAAAATCATAATCTTAAAACAATATATATATATATATATATATATATATATATTCTAACTCTAACAGTTCTTTTACTTTGAAGATTACAATATTAATTATATTTAAAAAAATACTCCGTTCATTTAATTTTTCATTTTAAGCATTTAATTTCAAGAATTCTTATTAAAGAGAATAATTCCCTATCTGAATCAAATTTTTTTTCTATTTTAAAAAAAGTTTTAAAGCTAAAAATTAGCCAAAATTATGATATTTGTTTTTGGGAAAGGTAACTCAACGAACTATCTCATTTTGAATGATAGAGTGTCTGAATTATTTTTTTGAATGAAAAAACCATTTAACTTTCTCATTTTCAGTGATTAAGATCCTGAACTATATTTTTGGATGAAAAATACATTAAAATTTGTCATTTTAAATGATTAAGTTCCTGAATATTTTTTCAATAAAATAAATCATCGAACTTTTAAAAATTGATTACTCACATATTTTTTTAACCCTAAAAAAAGATTCATGTAATCGATTAGGAAGGTTTTCAAATAAATCTAACTAAATTTTACCGTTCCCAAACTCTACACCATTCAAACCCCACGCAAACACTTGTTCAGTCTCTTGTTAATTCTCTGTCACTTATCGCCTATCACACTATTTGGCCCCTGCCGTTGGTCTTTTTCATATGTTTTTTTTATCTTCTGATTCTTCCTCTTTTGATGGAAAAAAAAACAGATCAAAAGGAGGGAGATCGATGGTAGGGGTTAACAACGTGATAGGCGATATAAAGAACATACAACGATGGAGCGACGAGGAGTGATGAGGTAGAGTAATAAACCACGCTTTATAAACATGGTCTCTAAGATCGACTTTCCCAACTTATCTTATATGACATGACCAGCTTCATACTCTTTTATCCTGTTTGGAGCACTATAACGACAAAATGTAAATATGAGCATGAAGGAGCCGGACAATTTCAACATGTAGAGCACATGTAACGCACAGTCCGATTGCTCACCTAGCAGATCCAATGTTTCTGCTATAGGGTTTGAATGACATAGGGCTTGGAAAACAGTAAAACTGATTTAGATTTCCATTTATTTTAAAACTTTCCTAGTCGGTCACAGGTAGCTTTTTTGGGTCAATAAATGTAAGTAACCAATTTTTAGAAGTGTGATGGTTTATTTTAAAAAACAACCAATTTTTAAATGTTCAGAAAATTAATCATTCAAAATGAGAAAGTTTAATGGTTTTTTCATTTAAAAAATAGTTAATGGACTTAATCATTCAAAATAAGAAAGTTAAATGGTTTTTTCATTCAAAAAAATAATTCAAAGACTTGATCTATACTATATTATAAAGTATTTGACAAAAACTCTTAAAAACCATTTTTTATGCACAAAGTACTGTTTATTGATGCATATTAACTTAAAATTTAAGATTACAAGTAAATTGTGCATAAGTACAACTTATTAAAGCTTCATATTTGAATTCGTGTAACCAACTGCAGATAAACATAATCAAATATTGGATAAACATCTCATTTTAAATATAAAAAATCTAAAATATAATTAAAATAATCATTGAGTTCTAACAGAATACTCAATAATTATCTTTTATAAAAAAATTATATTATTAAACCTAAATTAAATTTCTTTGTTACTAAACCTAAACTAAATTATAATAAAAGAAATTAAATTAAGAAAATTATACCGAAACACAAAAACTTTTAAAAAGATTAATTTRATACTGATATCGATATTTTTTTCCTTCAAAATTTATGATATTTTTAAATTTATATTTTATTCAAAAATAAAAACATTATCGTTTTCTCAAAACCACATCAAACCGTATTATATCGATATAAAAAATAAAAACGAAATACTAAAATCAAGATGTATCTCGATGTATTGTGAGAATACTTTTCTTGCTATTAAAAATACAATAGTTTGATTTTTCTAATTTTTTTTAATTATTTTGGAGAATTTATTGAAGATGTTTCGGTTATAAACGGAAAAAAAAAGTCCGTTAAGTTTTGACGGAAATCATCCGTCTATTCACACGTTTCACGCCTGTACCTTATATTTCAACACTCTCTCTCTCTGTCTATCTCTTTCACACATACACACACCCGGCTTCGTTCTTCCTTCTGGAAAAATTAAACAACTCAAAACCCCCTTTTTTTCTCCATTCTACTGTAAAATTGGGGTTTGAGGATTGAGATGTGGAGGGAGAATGGAGGCATTTCAACAAAAATCTCTAGTTGATGATCAACAACAACATCTAGATTTAGGGTTGCTGTCTGATCCACCCATCGACAATGATAAGATAGTAGACATCCTTGCGCTAGAGCTCGAAAATCTAGTAATAGCCTGTAAAGATGAGGTTATTGATCGAGATCTTTCGGGGTCTTCGGTTGTAATGGATGATGACGATGAAGTGAAGCGAGCAATAGACGAGGAGCTTCGGCAACTGGTAGTGAAGGAGGCTGCTAATGAAGCGTTTCAAGCTGAATCTTTGAGTGGAAGTGGAGAGAACAACTGCCGAGATGTAAAGCAGTTCGTGGACGAGGCTATCGAGCGGCATGGTCTGATTAAAGTTATTGAAGAGGACCCGAAGGAATGTAGGGTTTTAGAAGAGCCAGAAGTTGGTGAGGGTGGAATAGGATGTGGAAAAGAGGAGGAAAAGGTTGTTGATGATGATGAGAAAGTTTTTAAGCATGGGGAGGATTTAAAGGAAAAGCACGAGATTGAGATTGAGGATGGGGGTGGCAGTAGTGAAATTGTGGGTTATGAGAATAATGGTGAAGAAAGGAGGAGCGAGGATGGAAATGATAGGGAGTTTCAAATCATAGAGGATCTGGAAAATGGGAGCGAAAATGCTGGTGGAGAGAGCGAAGATGGTGGTGGGTTAGGGATGGTTCCAGATGATGGTAGATTAAAAAGGTACTATTATCCATTGAGACCAGATGCTGAGGATTGTTCATATTACATGCGTACAGGGATGTGTAAGTTCGGATCAAATTGCAAGTTCAATCACCCTCTCAGAAGGAGAAATCAGGTTATTATAGAACCAACAATGATTTTTGCGCAACTCATATGTAGTAGTTAAAATTACAAAAATATCTCACATGGTGTGTCTGGTATTCTAAGTTATTGAAGATCACTCTTTGTTTAGCAGCCTTCTAAGGAGACTAAGAAGCAAATGGAAGAACCTTTGGAGAGGCCTGGGCAGATTGAGTGCAAGGTTATTTACTTGCTTTTGTTCATATACACTCCTTATTCCTATGGATGCAATCTTGTGCAGGTCTGAGTTGGTTTGCAGTTACAATAGGGGTTCAAAATTATGTTTTGTCACAGCTGCAGATACCCCTCATCTGGTCCCTCTATTAGGGATAAGTAATAAGTTTATATGTTCTTTTTTGGTGCTAGTGCTTGTTTTACTTGTGTCAAGTTACATGATAGATGCTATGGGAGTATGGGGTACCCTGTCATCAATGTTCTTTTGTTGATGGATGGAATATTCATCTTTATCTATATAGGAAAACCCATGACAATGGCATCGGTTATCTTATCCAGCCCCCTAAGGGGCCGTTTATCAAACTCTTACTAGGTAGAGTCACAACCCTCACTTACCTTATCGGGTAACATTCTCGGCCATCAAAATGGATTGTTGGTAGGTGTCGCTTACCCGGTAAGCACTTGCGAGGTAAGAGTTTTCTCTTTCACTTACCGGGGAAGATTCTCGATCCTTGTTATACCTCTTACCGGGTAAGATTCTCGGTCTTTGTCATGCTCACCTAGTAAGGTAAGTGATACCAGGTAAGCGATTGGTAAACAGCCCCGAAGTGTATCGTTAATTCTAATAGTCTTGAGGCAATAACTTGGTGCTTTTCTTGAAGATTGATAAACTTTAACTTCAGGAAGTTCGGTGTTGCCTTATCAAAATGAGGTCTTTTGATATTGGTAGAGTGTTATTTTGATGTGGCATTTGGGGAGGTTAGTTCAAGTTGCAGTGGATCACTATGGCATGTCTCATCGGTCAGATGTCAAGTGCTAAACTTGATAAGAGACCCCCTTAGACAAATTCATTTCAAATTTGTTTTAGATACTTTTGATTCATTAAATTGAAGCTAGTTTGCCATGTCCGTCTTACAGAGAACACACATAGATGTTTAATCATATGGTTTATCCTTGGATTGCCTCTTTAATTAGTATCTATTGTCCATCAAAAAATTACTTCTAGTACTCAAACACAACATTTGACAAAGTTATATTATTTCAAGCATTATCATTTTTGCATGGTTGGAATTGTAGTTGTATGATTGAATGGTGACAATTTTTTTTGTCTGGAGCACAACAGTTGATATATATGTATGAATGCTGTTGGTACTTCTTTGACTTTTTTCTATTGGTGTACAGTGTATACTAGTTAATATGGTATGCATGGTATATTGCTGTCTTGATACATTTGCACCTTATTACAAATTTGGCTCTGAGTGTTACTGCAGTTCTATTTATCATCTGGGGGTTGCAAGTATGGGAAATCTTGCAAATTCAATCACAGCAGAGGAAAAACTGCTGTAACTCCAGTGGCAGAGTACAACTTTTTGGGCCTGCCAATCCGACCGGTATTACTCCACTGCTTGTTTTTTAGTCTATTTGCTATCCTAATTGCATTTAAGATCTATTTTTGTTAGTTCCTTGTGCCTACATGTACATTATCTTTGGCTAATTGTGTTGCAGGGAGAGAGAGAATGTCCTTACTACATGCGTAATGGTTCCTGCAAATATGGGCCAAACTGTAGGTTTAATCATCCTGATCCTACTGCGGTTGGAGGAGGTGATGCTCCCCCCACATATGGGAATGATGGACCTGTTCCATTACAAAATGCATCACAGGCGAATATCCCCTCCTGGTCCGTTCCAAGAACTCCGGATGGGTCTGCTGCCTTTTTACCAGTGATTTACTCACCAACTCAGAGCATGCCTCCACCAAATCCAGATTGGAATGGTTATCAGGTATTTGGCTTCCCATGTTATAGTTTCCGGTTGAGTTTTTCACCCATACTTGATCTGGGAGTTCTTCATAACCGTTTATTGCCTACTTCCTTCCTGCTCTAGTTGCTGAGTTCATTTGAGAGTAAGGACCAAATGTTTTTATATATATCTTTTCCCGAATGTGATGAGATGCTGAAATCATTGGAAGTCTCCACCGTGCTTGCTCACTTCTTTTTTGCCTAAAAGTGCATTGCACAGATATGCTAGCCAGTGGCAGTGATTGGATTGCTTACATTGCTACTATTCATGCTGGGTTTTTTCTTTTTTTCTGGTGGAATGCATTTTTGAAGTCCGTAACTCCATAGATAACTAACTTCTCCCATATGTGACATTGGTGTATGTTGTTTATGGTTTGTAATTTCATTCTAGGTCTCTAACACAATTAAGAATATAGTGCATGATTCCGTTTGTTCTGCATCACAACACAAATCCAATTTTGCTATTAAGAGAGGTGAGATATAGGAAAACTGTGACCAATTTTGAACTTTAAACAAGTCCACTGAAAAAGGCAAGAAGAAACCAAGACCTGGTGCATGTGTGTTTCTTAATTAAATCATCAAAACTTGATGAAACTGGAGGGGGGCTGCTTATTTATTTATAAGCCTTGGGATCATCTTGTAACCTAGGGTAATCATCTTAGAAATATGTAATTATTGCGCTTTTTAATCAACTAAATGACAATTTCGCCCTTAATAATAGAGTAATTAATTATTTTTTAGCTCATAATTAAGGTAGAATTGGAAAGAAGGTATTTGAAGTGGACATTTATTTTGAGACAAACTAAAATGCAAATGTAGACATTTATTTTGGGGACAGAGGGAATATCAAGACACTAAAGCAGGGTGTGGACTCCTATTTTTCTGCTTAGTTCACTGTTGGATGAAAGTTTGCTAAAAATCTCATCAATCTCAACATCAAAGATGCATCAGATATATTGTGTCCATTAATCCATGACTTCTAACTTATGCATTCCCTTCTATACTTTGCTTATTCGTTGTTTTATTTTATTGCATATTTAATTTTTTATTGCTATTTCTTTTCTTCTAACTTATTCATGGTTTGGACTTGATGAGACTCCTGCTCCCCCTCCTGCTCATGTATATCCGAATTCAGAAAGGGGTCTGCCTATACCACCAGCTTTCTTCCTGAACAATCCACCAAGTGATACCAGCTTGTACACACATCATCAGCAGCAGATGCTAGTTTCAGATTATCCTGAAAGGCCCGGACAACCTGAATGCAGTTACTTCATGAAAACTGGAGACTGCAAATACAGAACAGCCTGCAAATTTCATCATCCAAAGAGTCGCATCACCAAAACTCCCCCATCTGTTCTAAGCGATAAAGGGTTGCCTTTAAGACCTGTAAGTACATCTTCGAATTTCCCTCACATTTTCCGATGCATTGCTGTTTGTTGCTTCACTTTCTCATATGCTACTATCTCAAGAATATTGCTCTTTTAATGTTTCTCATTTTTGTCTGTGTGGGAAGAAAAGAAAATAAGATTGTGGGTCCAATTCCAATTTACTTATTTTGAAGTTAAATGAAAATTGGACCCAAGCAATGGAAAATTGATAATAGATTTTGTTTACAATGCAGTAGCATCTGGTTTATTATTATATAAATTGGCATCTTACCTTTGTTGATAATACTAGTATGGTTTGGTTTTGTTGAAAAACAATCAGGATCAGAATATCTGCACGCACTACAGTCGGTATGGCATATGCAAATATGGGCCTGCTTGTAAATATGATCATCCAGCAAATTATAGCAATTCGATCCCGCCTGCAGGAGAAAGGTATGGATCAGATGGGCCTTTGATGCAACAATCTGTGTAATCAAGTCACCATCAGTTGAATGTTTTTTTCTTCTTCTTCATGTTTTTGAACTAACAAATCTCGAAACTTTGATGGCCCTTGGAGGGGAGGGTAGTAAGGAAGGTATTTAGAAAATGTTGAATGATATGTTTAAATTATCTCCATAGTCTTATTATACTGCTTCAGTTTTCAGTCTATGCTTTTGTTTCAGCAATGGTGGTACTGGTTGGGTGGTTTCATCAATTTTGCCTTCCCAACAAACATATGGGTTTCAAGCTTTATGTTTAACAATCTCGTTTTCGTATTTTTTATCTGGATCATTGAAAATGATTCACTGTGCTAAGTAAGAGATACTTCAGTCATTTTACATGTCTTGAAATCAATTTTGTTGTTAATAATATTCTGCTTGTTCTTTTCAAATTTGATCGTTTTGTTTGAATTTGGGCAAAAAGTCGATTACTGGCAATCCCAACCGGCCCAACACGAAACCAACCTCCAAGGACGCCAATGTGAGGGGGTATTTTTTTGGCTTACTCATTGGCTAAGGCTAAGAGAGGGATCAGGATTGAACCTGGGACTTGTCTTGTGTTTGGGCAAAGTCGTCTCGTCCTTTTGCCAACTGAGCTATACATCGAAGGCTGTTTTGAGTAAATTTGTTAAGGGAATTTGGGACCGGTTAAGCGGGATCGGACTGGCCCAGGGTTGCTTGGGACCGGTCGGTCGGTATTAGTTAAAGAGACCGGTTGTTGTCATAGAACTGCATTTGCATTTGAATTATGGTCCAATCTTGGTGTTGCATATGCGGCCGAGAGTTATGGATATGGATATGGATATGGATATGGATATGGATATGGATATATGGATATGGATATGGATATGGATATGGCTTGTAACCCGCTTCATTTGTTTTTATATATAAAAATGTTATCGGATAAATATTGAACACCAAATGGTATGAAACGGCCGCTGATCAAAATAATTACTACTGTTACTTGATAAATATTTACAATTAAAAAAATATACAGTTTTAGAAATACGTAATCGATACACCTTTTAATTATTTAATAAAAAAATTTACGAAAGAAATATAAATTTTCTTCATCTGAAAAAATTAAGTGTAGCCTAAAAAAATGGAATTTATTTTTTGAAAGTAAAATATATATATATATATATATATAGTGTGTGTGTTTATATATATATATATATATATATATATATATATATATATATATAT